CTATTTGTTGTGGTAATTTTTATTATGTTAATTTGAGGTAATGATGTAACATAGAAAGAAAAAAGCAATGATACAAACTTTGGGGGTATTTTTCAGGGAAAGTTTATGTATTATAAATATCAAAATACAGCTTATAGTGCTTTATATGTTTGCTCTTCTAGTCATATTTTCAGTAACATTTTTAGGTGATTTTAGTTAATTTCAGTTCCAGCGTGTGTTTTTGTACTATCTTTTTAAGTGACCGAATGAGCACAAATCAGGATTAAAATGTTATTTTAAATAGATTTGTTTTGTAATTGAGTTAATGTTAAGTTAATATCTTACCTGCTGTAGATGGTTCTTTGAACGTTACAGTTTTGTTCTCACAGATTGACGAGCTAATCGTTAACTTGGGCAGAGCCAAAACTAAAGTGTGCCCCTGCTGACTTAAAACAKCAATATCCAAAGTTTCATAGCAGCTATTGCTAATAAGATGTCACAAACATTTACATCAAAGTTATTTTTGTTCTACGTGGTTGACCCAGAATTCTGTGGTCATTTGCAAACAGCTGCAGCGAAACAGAGCACTTCCAGGAATATTTCTAACCATGTGCTATAAAACTAACGAAAAGTTTATAAATTAGACTAAACATAAACCACAAATAAATTTAGAGTTTTAAAATGACAGCAATCCACTTTAGTCTTGGCCCTGCTCTGACTAACTCTGGTCCTTGATGGTGTCTGTCCTGCATGTTTTACTCGTTTAAGTGCTCCAACTCGGCTGATTTGATGAATTACTTCATTAAGTTCTGCAGAAGACAGTTGGTCGTTTAAATTGCATGTTGGAGCAGAGAAACAAATAAAACATGTAGAACTAGCTTATGAATTCAATCAAAATTAAACTTTAGTTGTTTTTTTCTTCTGAAAGTTATCTACAACAGGYAAGATATTAACTGTTCATTAACTTACAATAGACCACTGCATCCAAACAGCTAAGCTACAACTTTAATTTGTCTTCAGAAACAAACTTAACTTCAGTCAAAACACATTAAAACAGGAAGTGAGGAAGTGAAGAAAGGTGTTTGTTTGGCAGGCAATTTATTCTGATCACTAACGTTTATATTCAGGAAAATTTCTCCAATAATTACTAATGTATCTAATTCATAGAACATTTTGGAACATGATGTAAATAAAGACCAAAKTCCTCCACAGAGACACTAATTGGATGTTAATTTTTTTCCCCGACAGTTTTTTGATCTCTGTGCTTCATTCTAATTGCCAAAACCAGCTGAAATCAACCTGAAGTAAATGAAGATTTGCATTTCACAGCTGAATAGTGAAATAATGAGCTGCTAAATTAATTTGTTATTAAGTTGATTTTTATTTATAATTCAGGCTCTATGTTTTCTCCTCAAATGAATGATCAGCATCTTTTAGATGTAATAAAATAAAATAAAAAAAGATTTGTTCTACTTTTTGACATGTGTTTTTGATGTTCACTGAAGCTCAAATAGAGGAGTTGTTATTGATGAAATTARACATATTTGAAACGAGGATTAAGTCTAAAAGTGGTGTATGGAGAAATAAGCAAATAGTGTTTTGATTAAAATGTTAACAAAAATTGCATTTGGTCAAAATATAATGAATAAATGCCTTATCAATGTATCATTTGAATGAAGTGTCTGAAATATAATCATAAAACACAATTTTGAAGCACTTTGAGCAGTAGCAACAAAAAATCTGATTTTGAGGAAAATACGCTTTAGAATTTTGAGATTTTCCTTGTGAGCTAGAAATGTTTTTTTCTTTTCAGCTGGGAAATCTTAATATTCAAATATAATTTGACGTTTACTCTTTATACGGACATCAAAAATTCCTCATTAAAATGACATAAAATTAGGATTCAGACTAAATATTTATGTATTATTGTAACCAACAAGACAAATTAAGTCATATATAGTATATGGATTCACTTATGATATCAGAATGAGCCAAACTTAGTTTTTAAAGCTGTGAATCTGAAAATGTAATTAGGTCATTTTGACCAAATTTGACTTAATCCTCATTTYGATATGATGGGTCACATTTGTGTTTCATACAAGAATAAATATCTGTCACAAGCACGACTTCCTGTGATTCTCAGTGATGTGATAGATGGTTTGGTTTGGTTTTGCAGATGGTGTTAGGGATCCAATGTGAGCTGCGGCGACAGCTGAGGAGCTTCATCTCTCTGGAGCGGTTACCTCTGGTCTCTGACCCGGTGGGTTCCTCCTGCCACAGACCGACTCACCCGCCCCCCTTCGGCTCCCGCCCCTCCATCCTCGGCCCCAGCATCCGATTCGCCGTCTCGCACGGCCGGGTGAGCGCCGAGGTCATCGGCGTGGCCAGCGAGGACAGCCGGCGGGTGGCGGCCATCCTGAACGGCGCCGTCCACCTGGGCGGGCTCAGCTTCACGGTGCGCGGCTGCGACACGCACCACTTCCTCCAGTCCCGCCCCATCGAGGAGGACCTCGCCCTGGGGCTGGGCGTGGGCGGCCGCGTCCTGGAGAGCGGCGTGAACGTGAGCGTGTCSCAAATGAGCGCCACGGTGGGCGGCAGGACTCGACGCTTCGCCGACATYGCCCTCCAGCAGGGGGCGCTGTGCCTGTGCGTGCGCTACGGTGGCACCGAGGAGGAGGAGCGGGCGCGGGTGACGGAGGAGGCGAGGAAGCGGGCGGTGGAGGGGGCGTGGGAGAAGGAGAGGAGGAGGTTGGATTTGGGGGACGTGGGGAGCAGAGCGTGGAGCGAGGCGGAGAAGCAGCAGCTGCTGTCCGGAGGGCGCGTTCAGGGCTACGACGGCTACTACTCGCTGCCCGTGGAGCAGCAGCCGGAGCTGTCCGACTGYCCCACCAACATCCACTTTATGACACTCAGCGAGGTGGGGGGCAGGTAACAGAGACACTGAAACGACCCCCCACCTTCCCACCAAAGACTGCCTGTTTCTACTCTGCTCTGATTTGTTCTACTGTTTCTATACTTTACCGAAAAAAAAAGCAAGATGGTGACTCTGGAGAACAASACGAGACTGAGGGGGAGGGAAAGAAAAAAACTTCCAAATGCCTTTAATTGTGACAAAATGATGGTATTTTATTATTATCGTCCAGTTTCTCCGATTTCTAACAGTGGCACAAGCGGTGTGGTTTGGCTGTGGCTTTGCTTTTTGTATCCTGACCGACTGACCGACGGACGGACAGACAATCTGCCTTTTTTTGCTGTTTCAACACTGTTCATTCGTTTCGGACTCTGTTCACTCTCACTGAACTGTGGCGATGAAGACGTGCGGGTTCACCGGTGAATAATCCCCCCCCACGC